GTGCTTTGCACACAATGTCCCAATCAGTTTCCACAACTGTTCTCTGAGTGGGGACTGTCACCGCTGCACCCATTTTACAGATGAGGGAGTTGAGGCTGGGGAGGTTGTAACTTGCCTACAGTTACAGGGAGCAAACGGTGGCTCTAGGACTTGAACACAGAAACTAACACTCACTGTCTCTCTCTTAACCATTCTGTGTTGTAGAGCCAGGGAGGGGCAAGAAATGGAAATGCATGATTGAGTGGTTTCTCACACTGTTCCTCATGTCGCCAAAATTCCAGTCCTTTAAGGTAGAGCGGTGTTGTTTTGTTTCTGGTAAGGAAACTAAAGTTCAGAAAGGTTAAGTAACTTGCCTGGGGTCTCACAGTGGGTAAGCCACAGAACCATCATTTCAGCTCTCGCTTGCCTGATACAGAAGCTTGTTTGCTCTACAATAACACAGGCAGGCTCCTCAACACAGTTGCCCCTACATTTATATCCCACAACATATCTAGAAGGGTGCAGTCTTAACCCAAGAGAAACTGACCTTTGAGTAACCAATCACAAGCGTGGCCGTGTGTTATGTGGACTCTGGAGGTAGACTGCTTGGGCAACCTTGAACAAGGTCCTGAATCTCTCTGTGCCTCAGTTTACCTTATCAGTAAAAATGCAGATGAAAATAGAACCTAGTTCTCAGAGTTGTTGTGAGGGTTAACGGAATGAGTTTATGTGACGTGCATAGGACAATGTGTGGCACCTAGCACATTATTCATAAAGACGAGAGTTTGATACAAAACATACTCTTCCCATTGTACTTCCTTTTGGAGCAAACAAAGTAAACCTTGGAAGGTGTGTAAGTTTCCGATTGCTACTGTAACAGACCACAAACTTAGTGGCTTAAAACAACACAGATTTATTCTCTTACATTCTGGAAGTTGGAAGTCCACCCCCCAATGGAGCTAAAACCACACAGGGCTGGCTCCTTCTGGAGGCTCCAGAGGAGATTGTTTCCCTGGCTTTTTCAGTTTCCAGAGGCCACTTGCATTCCTTGGCCTGTGGCTCATTCCATTTTCAAATTTCTCTCTGATTCTAACTCTTCTGCCTCCCTCTTCCACCCAGATAACCCAGGATGACCTCCCCATCTCAAGGTCAGCTGATTGGCAACGGATTCCATCTGCAACCTTAACTCCTTTTTGTCATGTGACACTCAAAGGGTCAAGGGATGAGGACACGATATATTTGGGGGCACAGCATTCTGCTGTTCACAGAATGGTACCTAGGAGTCCCTTCACCCCAGTCTCCATTCAACTTCCCTTTGCTCAGGCCTCCTCATCCCAGTCCTGACTCCCTTCTACCTGTACCCTGCAGTCCCTCATTCCTGGCACCCACCCCGCACCCTGCTTCAGACAGCAGGGAGCCCTCAGAGGCGTCAGAATGAACCATATGCAAGTCCTCACACCTGCGGACATTGGCTACCTTTCTTAGCCTGACACTGAGGAATGTGTTAAAGACCCCATGGGGATGCTGATGCCCATGTCCAGGCACTATAATTCTGCTTCCCTTCCTATTGGCTCCAACAACAAGGTGTTTTTAAATCACAGCACCATTATAAACCATTCCAATCATTCAACAACAAATATACATTAAGCAGTCGCTATGTGCCAACTACTGGGCTAGGCGACCATGAGGCAGACCCTGCCCTTGCTGAGCTCCATGCTGGAGGCAGGGATGGGGGAGAAAGGCAGACAAAGCGGTAGGAAACAGTTTTCCATTGCTTAGTAAAGTGGGGCCCGCTGCCCAGCGATTCTCCTTATAGGCATTTACCCCGATGTTTGAATGTGACTGCACATCAGACTCATGTAACATTTCACTTCTAAACCTCCCAGTGCCCAGGCCCCATTCCAGGCTAATTAAATCAGAATCTCTGGGTGGTGGCCCAGGCATCAGAATTTCTTAAAGCTCCCGGGTGATTCGGATGTGCACGCAATGTGAGAACCCGTGCCAGCAGTGTGCCCCGGGGGGGCCTGGTTTAATTGGGTTGGCTGCAGTCTGGGCATGTAGTATTTTAAAAGCTCCCCCATGTGATTCTGAAGTGCAGCAAAGCTTGAGAACTGCTGTTGTCTGCCTTCCTCCCCCATCCCTGCCTCTGGCCCAGAGCTCAGTGAAGGCAGGAGCTAGAGCAGTGGTTCTCAACAGTGGGGGGCTGCTTTGTCGGCCACAGGACACTTTGCAATGTCCGGAGATATATTTTGTTGTTTCAAGTGGGATACGCTGCTGGCCTCTAGGTAGAGGCTAGGGATGCTGCTAAACATCTCTCAGTGCACAGGACAGCACCCCTCACAAAGAATGACCTATCCCCAGATATCTATTGTGTCAATATTGAGAAGCTGGTCGTCAGGGACCGTTGTGTGTGTGCCCCAGGACTGGAAGACATATCTAAGGATGTTCAGAGTAGCACTGTAACAGCAAAAACCAACCAACCTGATCAACCCAAATTAAGAAATAACCTGCATTAGTATACTCACAGCAGAGATGCTTTCATTGAACTGTTGGTGGGGAGAGAGGCATAAACACACCAGTGAGAACAGAGAACTTCCTGGGGAGAGGAGGAAGTCCCCAGGAATTACGAGTGCGTTCCCAGCTCGCTCAGTGAGTTTATGAGTCTGTTTTCTTTCTAGGTTTCTTGTTAGTTTGACATTTCATGGGAAAAATTATACTATTTGGTCTTTGAAAGGAATTTAGGCAGCTCCAATAAAGAAAAAATCGGTATGAGTGGAAGTGTTTTTTTGTGGTATGAATACACACACATACACACACACACACACATATTCAACCAAAAAAAAAAAATAGAAATCTTGTAAATATCTAGAAATGTCAAAGTGACTAAGAGAGTGTGGTACATAACTCAATTGAATGTTATACACCCCTTACAAAGGATAATAAAGAAGGTGACTTAGAAACATGAGAAATGTCTGTGATACGATGGGAAGTGAAAACAGGAAATAAACAGCACAAATAGTGATTACAACTCAGAACAAATGTTGGCCTGTGTACAAACACTGGAAGGACTTGCAGGAATAAAAACTGTTCTAATTAAGATGCTAGAATTTGGGTGACTTTTTCCCAAGATTTTCTTTAATGCTATTATTTTACACTTAGACATTTATCAGGACAGCTGTCCAGCCCATAGCTCTCTCTCTGAACACTGTGTCTCCACCCCAAAGGATGACTCTCCCTTAGTCCTGTTTGGCTCAGCTGACTCTGTACCCCAGCCTGGGGACCTGATGCAAGCTGGACCTACTGACTGACTAGGGCAATGCCAATCCCTCTGCAGCAGTCCTTTTTTTTTTTTAAGATAAAATTTACATAATACAATTCACCATGTTAGCCATTTAAAAGTGTGTCGTCCAGTGATTTTTAGTATATTCACAATGTTGTGCAATTTTCACCACTATCTAATTCCAGAACAGTTTTATCACTCAAAAGAAACTCCATAGCTATTATCAGTCACTCCCAATTCTCCCCTCTTCAAGTGCTAGGTAACCATTAATCTATTTTGTCTCTATGGATTCACCTATTATGGATACTTCATATAAATTAAATTAGACCATATGCGGTCTTTTGTTACCTAGCTTCTTTCACTGGCATAATGTTTTCAAGGTTCATCCATGCTGTAACATGTATCAGTATTTCATTCCTTTTTATGGATAAATAATATTTCATTGTATAGATATGCAGCATTTGGTTTATCCTATTCATCAGTTCATTGACATTTGGGTTTTTTCTACCTCTTGGCTATTGCAAATAATACTGCTATGAAAATTCATGTACAAGGTTTTCTGTGACTATATGATTACAATTATCTGGTAAACCTAGGAGTGAAATTGCTGGGTCATTTGGTAACTCTATGTGTAACTTTCCTAGGTACTGTCGAAATGATTTTCAGAATGGCTGCATCATTTTACTTTCCCACTAACAATGTATGAAAGTTCCGTTTTCTCAACAACCTCACCAACACTTATTTCCCTTTTTAAAAATTATTATTAATATTATTGCCAGGTCCTACATTAAATGTCACCTTTTCAGAGGAGGCCTCCATGGATGACCCTGTCCACAGCCGGAAATCCACCCTGGCCCTGAAATATTATATTATTCCACCTTGTTTATTTTCTTTATAGCATTTGTTACAATTTTTAGTTATCATCCGTCTCCTTCATTAATTAGACTGTAAACTCCAGGAGGCGTGATCAGGTTTGTCTGGTCCATTATTTTATCCCTGTGCCTAATATAGGACCTGGCACATACCAGGTGGTTAATAAACACTCTGTTGAATGAATGAACGGTCGAATGCTAAGGGAGGAGGAACAGGTTGGGAACAAGGTGTTCAGCAAAGCCTTATTTGCCTCATCCATGAAAAGCTCTCCAGCACGCAGCCAGAAGCTGGGTCCAAAGATCAGGAGAGAGAAGGGCTGCAGCCCTGGGAGTTACTTGTACAGACACTGACAATGAGTTGAGAGAGCCTAGGCTACCTTGTGAGAGAATTACCATCACGGAACTCCTTTAAGCACGCAGATTCCTGGGCTCCTCCCCAGCCACACTGGATCAGAACCTCGGGGACGGGGGCCCCCGAATCAGCATGCGTAACGTGTTCCGCAGGTGACTTTGCTGCAGCTTGAGGTTGGAGAGTTCGGCTCTAGGGAATGAGAGGCGCAGAAGAAGAGGAGGGGCCCAGGCTATAATATCTGGTGACCAGGTGATAGGACGCAGAGGAAGAGGAAGAAGCCTCCTGGACCTTTGGTCGCCCTTGGCTTCCCGCAGCGCCCCGCCCCGCCCGCCCCGCCCCCTCCCACGCCCCGCCCCGCCCCGCCTCTTCCCCCGCCCCGGACAAGCCCCGCCGCTGCGCCTTTCGATTGGCCGCCGCCCCTCCCGATCACGGGCCTCGGCCAATGGGGCCTGCGCGCGCCGAGGGCCGGAAGCACGGCGGCAGTAGCGATCGCGTCTTCTGGACGGTCGCCACCTGGCGCCATGCGAGGTCTCTGGCTGGGTCTGGTGTCGCGGCGGCTTCTCCCGCTGCGGCTGCCCCCGCGGCCGCAGCAGCCGGCTGGATCCTGGCTGTCGAGCGGGCCGGCGGCGGACGCCCTGAAGCGGGCCATGGACGAGCTGCTACGCCGCTCCGTGCCCGCGGTGCCGGAGTACGAGCTTCGCGAAAAGACGCCGGCGCCAGCCGAGGGCCAGTGCGCGGACTTCGTGAGCTTCTACGCCGGCCTGGCCGAGGCGGCCGAGCGCGCCGAGTTGCTGGGCCGCCTGGCACAGGACTTCGGCGTGGACCACGGCCAGGTGGCCGAGCAGAGTGCCGGCGTGCTCCAGCTGCACCAGCAACCTCGGGAGGCGGCCGTGCTGCTGCAGGCTGAGGACCGGCTGCGCTACGCCCTGGTTCCGCGCTACCGCGGCCTCTTCCACCACATCAGCAAGTTGGATGGCGGCGTGAGCTTCCTGGTGCAGCTGCGAGCCGACCTGCTCGAGGTCCTGGCCCTCAAGCTGGTGGAGGGGCCTCACGTCCGGGTAAGGCCCCGTCCGGGCCGCCCCGACTCCCTGGGAGCAGGGAAAGCCCGGGTCGCGCCCCCGCTTTGCACCCAGGTCCATGGGCCCTTGACAGTCCCTATACAGCCCTCACTGCCCCTCAAGCCCCAAACACTCCGCTTTCCCGGCCTGAAACCGTTCACACTTCACCATGAGTTACAGAGCCCCAAACTCTGTCCCCTTCCTTCCCAGGTTTTCTGAATCCTTAGCTCCGTGTCTTGCTCCAGTCTTTACTATGTAGTGCTTATTAGATAAGCAATCGCCTGCCTTTAAGATGACTGTCATACCTCATTCGTGATTAGGATACTTCACAAAGACTGACTACTTCAGCTGAGAGGTTTCGTCTACAAGGTATACTTGAACGAGTACCAAACTCAGCATCAAGCAGCCTTTCTAAAAAACCTGTATTGTGTCAGCAGAAGTTAATTGTGCGCCCATTATGTGTAAGCCATTGCCCTAAGAAGTCCTGTGAAACAAACGGGAATCACTAGAACTTGAGATCTCCACTGTCTTAAGAGTCTGGGTGCCTTCTAGAACTTGATACTTACTCCACAGGGATCTGGAGAATTAGGTAGAATGTCTCCTGTCTCATAATGAAATCATCCACCTGTCCAACCACCCTTCGATATGCAACCATCCGGCGTTTATCTTGTAGGAGAGAGACATGCTCTAGGCTCCCAGGTCGTTTGGTCCAGGAGCTTGTGTTCTAGAACAGAAAGAGTTAAGTAGAGGCATGGTGGATGGTAAGCACTTTCCATACATGTGCTTTTTTCATCCTCAGCAAGTCATAGCAAACTCTGTTATGGATGAGGTGATTAAAGCTTGTTGAGGTCAAGTGCAATGCCCAGAGTCGAGAGCTGGTAAGAGCCACAACTCAAGCCAGACTCAATGATTCCCCAGTTGGGTACTTCTTCACTACACAGCGACTTGGAGTTGACCATTTAACTAGATCTAAAATGGATTTGTTCTCTTAGAATTTGCCTTTTTCTCTCAAGTGGAGGTCAGATAAAACCAGTTAATTGGTGGCTTTGTTTTATTTAGTGTCACTGAATCAGGAGTTAAGTATTCTCTAGTTGTAACTATTTACTTTTGTGCAGGCTTCTATCTTACCAGCAGTCTTAGTGCCCATCTTTCTCTAAAACCACAGGTTAGTCTTTACTCCCTTGTTGAAAAATCATCAAGCCTCACATGCCAAAAGGATTGCATTCAGTGTCTTTCCTTTGTCATTTATGATGCACACCAAATCATCCTGGACAGCATTCCCACCTTTAGTCTCCATTACTTGCTCCTCTCCATAGACTTACCTCCAGCCGAGCTGGCTCTTGAATGGAAAGTTCCTGAGCCCCTATCCCTGTGTGATTTCTACTTGGGAGGCCTGGTAGAATAAGGGCTGCCTCCACCCTTAGCTCATTCACTCAGCTTTTCCAGGCCCTCTGGCTCAAAATGGTCTCAATTTTGAGCTTCATGACATAAATTATTATCTGCACCCCTCACTTAGGTTTTATACATCAACCACAGAATTGAGCGTCTGAAATGTATTATTCCCCCTACCCCCAAATAGATGATCGGCTCCTTGAAAAACTGGGAACCTTGTCTTAAATTTCTTGCATAGCAAAATGATGAATGAAGCATTAAGATAGACTCCTGGGTGCCCCTCTATAAGACAAAGTCAGCGCACTAATCATCCCCATTTGTCTTGATGTCAGCTTGCTCCACTCACAGTTCTGAGCCTGGAAGGAAGCCCAGAGGGTCTGGGAGTTTCTGCCAGTGAAGAGAGACATCAGATCAGACGTTCAGACTGCCCTTGGCAGATTTCAGCAAGTGTTGGCCCTGGATGATTCCTAATGCCTCTACCAGTTCTCAATCCTCTGATTCTCTGACACATTACTGACTGAGGTCCCCTTGCTATTGCCCACAGGAGAAAACACGTGGTTATTGTGCAGTGGAAAAGGAATATTGTGGCAGCTGAAAGCTGTAACATTGAGACTTGACTTGTTGGAAGTGAGGAGCTCGCCCCAGGGAAATCCAGAGCTGCCAGCTAACCAGGTCGTCAGATGTTCAGAGTCCCATGTTTTTAAAGCAAGTGTTCACACACAAGGGAAAAAAAGGTTGCATACCTACAGGCAAAAAGCCCCATGGAATAAAGATATTTTTTGAAGAAAGGATAAATAACCATGCGCATGGTCTGGACACGTTAGGTACAGAAGCCTTTTTTAGTGTCTATCATGCCTCTTTCATTTTATCTACATAGCAATTCTGTCATATTTAGTGTGTCTGTCAGTGCCTGGTAATTCCCTTCTCCTTTGGTCTACATAGTTATGTCAATTTTTTTAAAATCCCTATCGTTAAATCATTCAGAGACTAGTTCTTTTAAATGTATGGACGTTATCACTGGGATCTGCTATTGTACTCTATCACCAGAGTCACCTAATGTCCATCTTGATTCTCTTCTCATTCCGGATTTTGCATCCAAGCTAAAGAGGTGATACAGGCAGAACTTTTGCTTCTAGGAAGTCAGTGTTAGAGACCACCAGAAGTTTGGCGTGTGAAGCTTTAGGGCAGGAGTCCCAGACCCGCAGGGGCCTGTGATGTGGGGGAGCGGGGAGCTCCTCTGTGGCCGTGCCAGATGTCAGCAAGCCTTACTGTGTGCACGCAACAGGCACCCTGTCGCAGACACACTGCTTGCCTGAGCCCTGCTGACCTTAAGACTTGCTAGGTACATTCATGTGAATATGCACTGATTTGCAGGAGTTGCTGTGGGCTTGGTCCTGAGCATTCACCTTGGTCCACTGTGTTTGTGACACGGGTCCTTGTTTACTGGAGCCTATAGGGTACAAAGGCACTTCAGAAGGACCAGCAATGTGAGGCCGAATGTGGCGATTCTGTGCCTCTGACCAGACAGTGAGTAGAGTGGAAGAGGCACTGGGTGGGGAGACAAGAGGTAGGTTCCCAGGCCTGCCTTTGCCATCCATTGGTTAGAGACATGATTTTAGATGACCTTAGCCAAGTCACTTAACTCCCTGGGCCAACTGATTCTGCACTGAGGTGAGAAAGTCAGCTGGCGGTTGATATGTTCAAGGTCAGTCAGCCTGCTTCTCTCCTAAGAAATACCCTGAGGGATATGGTAGAGCTTTGCTAAAAATCTCTTTTACAAATGAGGGCAGATTTGTCCAGACCTAGGCACTGACCAAGGGTTGTGATTATTGGAACCGTGGGAAGACTCCTGAAGACTGACAGCTCCATTTCAAGTGTGGCCCAGCATGAAGACTAAAGTCAGGAGGCCAGGCAGCTGTCTCTCTCTTTCCTGGGATATTTTGAATCAGACATTTCTTTTCTCTCCCGTGGGCATCTTAATCCTTTTTGATAAGAAGTTCAGAGTCAGTTTCAAGTCTCTGCTGGGAACACACAACTGCTACACTGAAGAAAGTTTTTATAGCCTGGCAAAGGTCAAATGTCTGTGTTGTTTTTTGATACAGCAGATCCATACACGGATGCCTCCTGAACAAAGTGCCCTGTGAATGTGTAGGTGTGTGCCCAGCTCTGCTTATGGGGTGTGAGGGGGCGTGTGTGGTACGTGGTTGGGGAGAGGGTCATGTCGGGGAGCAGGTGTGGTTTCTGTGTGTGTTGGTTTATAGGCTTTTTGTTTTTCTCCAGAGACATTCCCAAAGGCCCACTTTGGTTGAAGAGTTAGGTTTCTTAGATAAAATCCCAGTGCAACTGAGCTGACTGACCCCCATTATAGCAGAAGGCCTGAGCGTTGTTCAACTTTTTTCGGGCACTAAAGGGAAGTTGGCATTTAGAAATTGAGAGGGCTTCTTGATGGCAATTTAAGCATAGAAATTACGGTGAAATGAGCGGTGTGCAAGACTTCACAGACGCATAGGTAGAACATAAGAGAAGGGACTAAACATGTGTCAGACACAGTCAGCATCGCCGCCGTTGGCAGTGCCCAGCCCTGATAGCCACTGTTGTACAAACTTTTTTGGTGGCTCGTCCTGCTTTTAAGTTAATATAGTGGTCCTTCTTGATTCTACTAAATTCTGTGTTTAGTTAGACGAGAAAAGATCTTATTTGTAGGTAGGAAAGTGTGTCCCAGCCACCTGGGGGGTAGCAGCTTGCATGAATGAGACCTGTTCCTAAAATGTACCTTTGGACTGTGACCCTTTCTGATAGCGTTCATCTCTCTTCCCCAGAGCTTCTGAGCAATGAAAAGTAATTCTTCACATACCAAAAAAACTTGAGAGGAGGGTGTGGGGGGCAGGTGTTTGTCTGCTGAGAGAGAGTCGGCTGGCCTCCACAGCGTCGCCCAGGATAGCTAGCGTGGGCCGTGCTGCGGAAGACAGGCCTGCCACTGATGCTGGCGGCGCCGCAGTCCCAGCCGTTGTGTTTTGGAGGCTCGGGTTGTTGATAATGATGGCAGGATTAACGAGCAGAAAGCATGAGGGACTTCTTTCCCTCCTGTTCTCTGTGATCCAGTAACCTTGCTGCACGGGGTGGCTAACGCCAGCCGGGACAGCTGTGGAGACTTGTAACCTTTAACCCAGATTCCCAGCTCTTGTGACCAGTGTCACATTGTATAGCTGTCAATAGCCCAAAATAGAATGAAGAGGCTTTTAGACGGGGAGCTCTCCTCAACCAAACCGTTTCTTTAATAATTAATACTGAAACTGGATAGTTCCAGCTTTTCTATTATGAATGGAATAGGGATGCCAGTGCACCTTATATGGAACTGGACCGATCCGTTTCTAACCACTTAGTGCAGAGGTTCCTAACCCCGGGGTCCATGAACCCCTGGGGATGATCCAAAGATGTATTTCAAAGGCTTATTAATCCCAGGCAACTGTATGTAAAATTTAAAATGTGTTTGCGTTTTCTGGAGGGAGCATTCCTGGATTCTTGGTTTTTAGTACATACTCTGGAGGATGTGTGCACCCCAGGAAGATTAAGAACCATTGTAGTCAAGTGCAGTAAATAGTTTTGTAAGGGGCCGTCCTGTATTTCCTAGCAAATGACATCTCATATCCTCCCTTCCTACTACTTCTAAGCCCCATTCTCCAGTTTTTCTTTTCTTTTTCTAAGATTCTAGTTATTTATTTATTTATTTTTTTATTTCTAGAGAGAGGGGGACAGAGGGAGAGGGAGAGAAACATCAGTGAGCGGTTGCCTCTCACATACTCCCAACGGGGCACCTGGCCCGCAACCCAGGCCTGTGCCGTGACTGCAGATCGAACCGGCAACCCTTTGGTTCGCAGGCCAGCACCCAGTCCACTGAACCACCCCAGCCAGGGCTCTTCTTTTTCATTGCCTGTCAATCTGTTAGCCATCTTCTACACGGAAGGTCCCACTGAATGCTTTGGGAACTAGAGGAATGAAATAGAAATAACCTCTGCCCTTACAGAGCTTAGAGCTGAGTAAAGGAGACTAGATTATGGAATCCACTGAGAAGTAAAAGGAATCTCAAAAGTAATTCGGCCCAACCACTATCAGATACTTAAATCCTTTTTAAAACAGCTCCACCACGTCCTTGTTGACCACGGCTGTGCTCACCACTTTCCACAGGGAGGTTCACTGTCTCCCAGGATGACCTTTCGCTGTTCAAAAGCTCTTTAAGTTCAGCCCGAGTCTGACTCTGTGTCCCCCAGTTAGTCCTAGATTTACGCCCTCTCCGCCCGACTCTGGCTATTAAAGGGTTACTGCTGTTACATGTTCAGCAGGGTCAGAGCAGGCTAAACTGAGATGGTTCCACTCCTGTCTTTTCCTTAAGCACTTCCAAACTCTTCTCACTTGAAAGGTCTCAGTGCAGATGTATCTTTGATGGTAAAGTGGACACAGTTTTCAGCAATAGATCAGATATAAGTGAGTAAAGTGAAATGAGAATAATTTTATCAAATCTGAGTGCATTGATTGCCAGATACAATATTCTTTTATTTCCCATTAAGGGAGGAAAAAAATGCTACCAGTTAAATTGTGATCTGCCATCATTTGAAAGGTGCATCCCAATTATAGAAACGTTAAGATACGAAAATGGGCACCTTTGAGTTGACGCAGCATGGTACCTGGACGCAGGACTTGCTCCTGCTAGGAGACAAGGCGTGGCGTTCCGGCATGTGCGCAGCTCTTTCTATGGGCAGGAGGGCTTGAGCGCCATGCTGTGTCTGTGCTTCCTGTGCACCCTTCGTCGTTATATCAACTTGAGGTGTTTAGTTGTGTTCACCCCATGAATGAATTGGATCATAGTATTTGATTTGGGAGACTTAAGTTGAATACTCCCACTTAGGTATCTTACAGACTGAAGCAGTAAAGTCTAAATGAAGCACTGAATTCAGTGTAACTTGGTTGAGAGCCAAGTTCAGTAGCCATATCTCAGAAAAGGCCATATAGAGAAACATCTTGCACAGTCTCCTTTGATCTCACCCCTTGGTGTTTAATTCACTGCGCTGACAATGCAGAGATGGGCTTGGAAAAGCTGACACTTCCCTCCTCCTTTCCAGGAAATGAATGGAGTGCTGAAAGGCATGCTCACAGAATGGTTTTCCTCAGGGTTCCTAAACCTAGAACGGGTGACCTGGCATTCGCCATGTGAGGTGCTCCAGAAAATCAGTGAGTAAGTATCCAGGTTTTCACGTTCCTTATACTTCAGCTGAAAGCCAATCTCTATTTACATGGTCGTTTCCTTCCAAGCCTAGTAAAACCCAGACATGGCATTCACAAATGTCATGGCTGTTCTAGCAGACGATGCCGTGATCATAGGGGAGGATAGGGCACTGACAGAAACTGGTCATTCTACCGTCAAGCCTGCCCGCAGTGTCTCATTTACATCCTCGTGCTTAAAGCCCGTGGCCTCCCTTTTCCCAGGACCCCACTGTCAGAGCCGTATGCATTCACTGGACCAAGTGTTTGCATTAGTCATCCCAACAGTATCTATCTCATCTCGTTGTGAAGATTTCTCCCTTGGATGTAATCTCTAAATTAACAGTATCGCACATAATTCCAACATGTCTGAGACACAGTAAAATGCAGGCCAGCATGTCACAGTTCTCACAAACAGGGGAAGCTCTTTCCACGACAGGAGCTTCATATTCCGCCTTGTCTTACACGATCGAAGGTTTGGAAAATGCAGGGTTTGCAGTGTAGCCGATTTGAGGGACTGATAGTGCCTGCTGCCATTTTGCACGTTGAAAACAAACTCGTGGTTGGCTGCAGTCGCTAGCCAAATGGAACCAAGAGATGTGTCTCTGCAACATTGACTTCAAACTGCAGAGATTTAAAGGAAATAAAAGACATAGAATGTTCAACGACTAAGCGTCTGGTTAGGTTTCTGCGTCACAGTCTTTTGCATAACTGCTTCCCCAGGGCCTCGCAAGCTAGTCTTAAGACCTGGTATTAAAAATTAGAGCACAATTTTGTGTGTAAAATGGTCATTAATTGTAGTTCCTTTCAGTCAGTACTGATTCACATTAAAATGATTTTCTTTAAATTTTTCCTGAAGAGGCCATTGAAGCTGTATTTAAAGGATTTATTTGACTTCAGTGAATAATATGAATCAGAATCAGCAATGCTTATTTAACGCGTAAATTGAACATTTGTCTTACCTCTTTATAATCTTCTCGTCAGGTCTGAGGCTGTGCATCCTGTAAAAAATTGGATGGATATCAAACAGCGTGTCGGGCCATACAGGCGGTGTTACTTCTTTTCTCACTGTTCAACCCCCGGGGAGCCCCTGGTGGTTCTGTACGTGGCGCTGACCAGTGACATCCCCAGCAACATCCAGGTACCTGCGGATGCCAGTCAAGGACAAGGCGGGCTCCTGCAGAGCCTCTTAAGGTTTTTTAAACTTGGTTTTATGCCCCTTTTTCAAAAGCTCTAGGCTTTTGTAGATTTTTGAATTGGCTGTATAAAATCTCTAATTTTATAGCTATACAATGTAGAGATATAGTACAGAGGCAGTCTTGAAATTAGGAGAGCATTCATCTGGGTCTACTGACTTTGGGTTGAGTCAGGGTTGAAGTCTATTACAGAATACTTTTGTGGGGCAGAAGAGAAGGAAGGGCACATGGTTCGGCTTTTCAGCATTTGTTAAGTGCCTATGGGTAGTGTTAAATGACACGTGACTGAAAAACAGACTCGGCGCTGTGGCCTCGCACAGGCCCAGAGCTCCGCCCGGGGAGTGGAAGCGATGGAGCCACTCCGGCAGGCCTGCCTGCGGCGAGCTTGGCTGCTCCTTGAGGAGGAGGCGAGAGTGTCTGAAACATTCTTGCGGGCTCAGGGGAGGCGGAAGGAGAACCAGGCCGGGACTGGGAATGGGAGAGCAGATGGCAATGATGGTAAAGACAGAGGAGGGGACGTGGGGATACCTGGGTCACAGTGTGTTTGCTTAAACCAGGAGGCCAGGCTGGATGAGGGCTTGGCATGGGAATGGCCTGTTTGGAAGCCAGAGAGGTGGTAACAGGTCACAAAACGGGCCCTCTGGGCGGCGTTCCTAGTCTCCGAAGAAATAGAAACCAAGCAGGCAAACGAACAGATGTTCTTCATCACCAGGGAGAAATCCCTTACGATTTTGTGTTTGAAAGAGTCAGCATACTCTCGCTCTAGAATTTATTACAACCTCTTTGAGGACAGTTTGATGATTTCTATTAAACTATAAAACATGCATGCCTTTGACCTAAAAATGTCACTCTCAGGAATTTATCCTGGAGAGACACTCAGACCTAAGAGTGCAGGAGGTTGCAACATTGCCTACAGTTTTGAAAAACTGGAAGTGATAACCCAGGTGTCCCTCAGGAGGGGATGCGTTAAGGAAATGATGGCATGTACACCCTCACACACAGTGCATTTCTATGAGTGTGTTTAAGTGTTGATTTAGTTTTATATTTTTGACATGGAAAGCTAACATTGACAAACTAGTGCATAAAACAATCAGGTTACAGGATAGCATGTATACTATGATCTTATTTATAATATTAATACTATCGATGAGCATTTGCTCTGTCCATTGGCCTGCAAAGCACATTCCATGTATTACTGCTCATAGTAATAGCCAGTGAGACAGACCTAGAAAGGTGCTTATCAAATGGTTGACAACAGGACTTGGTGTTCGGTTTTAGAATAATTTGTCATTTCTTTGTGCAGTTATTTTTGCCTCTTGCACATTATGCATATCTCATTTGTATAACCAAAGAAAGATTCATTTTTATTTTCAAAAACTTTAAAAAAAAACTTTCTGGAAATTTTTGAATAAAGAACCACTAGGCAACCTCTACAGACTTACTGAAAAACAAAGGAGAGAATTCACCAAGAAGAAGACAGTAGTGATGGGAACCAAGCTCTGTCCATTGAGGCTTGGTGGTGGCCGCGCCCAGGACTTGTGGCCACCTCTGTCTCACCATCTAGCCACTGTCTTACGGCAGCAGTTCTTTTCAGGAGTCACAAAAAAGACCCTTTGAGCGTCTGAAGAGGGAGAAAGCTGAGGACATTTTCCCCAGGGGAGTAAGTCCCACATTCTGCCCACAAGTTCAGAAAGTTTGTGGACTCCTGGACCTTATCATGGGTCCTGGGCCAACCACCACAACTTCAAGAATCACGCGTAGCTGGTGGAAGTTAGAGTAGTGTGAATGTGCTCTTCAGAAGCAAGCTGGTGTGCACGCATCAAAGCAAACTGAGAGGTAACCACCTGCCACTCCACTATTGTCAAGTGCCCTGCAGAATATTAAGGTTCAGAAAACCCCTCAATCAAAACTCAGAGCTAATAAAATCAGACTTGACTAAGGGACTTTCAGCACTACAAGTCGTATCTTAAATTGCTTTGCACATGTATATTTTCATTGAGGAAAAACAAGAATGTGGCACAAAACCAAAAAGGTGCGTGGGGAAATCAGGAAAAGATAAATTTCGTAAAAAAATTACATAGGTTTTGCAGGTCTCTTGAGAGTTCAGAGAAAAGGAGTGAAAATAACTAAAGGGTGGAACACACAGACTTTTGTAGAGAGTGGAGCCATGTGGCCTAGACAAGGGATGCGGGGTTCTCCCTGGGTGTTGAAGGGAGCAGATTAATCAACTTTCAGTTTGCACAAAGGCCTGAAAAAGACATAAATTGCTTTCAACAAAGTTTGCAGAGACTTTCAAAGAGGTAGAAATGGCACAGCATTGAGCAAACAGCCCGGGGAAGTTGTGCAGGCGCCGTCTTCAGGGGGATCTCAGACCAGACCAGACAGCGCTTTGTCTTCGCAGCCTGGTCCGTGAGCGGAAGAGAGGGGACGCTGAGATCTTTCAGCTCCCACCCTGGGAGGATTTTCTCGTGGCCTGAAGTGGAAGCATGGGGTGCAGGGACAAGAGCATCCAAGCCTGCTCAGCGCCGTCATCCATGTTTTGCAGACGATAGTGAAGGATTGTCCTCTCTCGGACACAGAGGAGAAGAACAAAATTGCCGCCGCCATCTTTTATTCCATCAGCCTGACCAAGCAAGGCCTGCAGGGGGTGGAGCTGGGCACCTTCCTCATAAAGCGTGCGGTGAAGGAGCTGCAGGTGAGTGCCACGCCACCGTGGGACTGTTGGGTCAGAGCCCCCGCTCGCCCTGCTGCTGCAGGGCAGTCGGGTCTTAGGATTGGCAGTGGGCAGGGGATGAAGATTTGAGCTGGGAGGAAGAGGGGGGCAGGGAGTGCCAGAGGCACTTCCTGGGGTCCTGAGACCGCTCAGGGGAGGAGGAAAAGGCATCAGGAAACTGGCTGCTCAGGTGGGCACAACTGCAGACGTTCTGAGGGCCTCAGCTTTCTGATCTGCGCGTTGTCGCAGCGTAGTTACGACGAGTGCCGCCTTTCGTTCTCACTTGTCCCGGTTTGGATGATACTCTTCTGTCATTCTGGCCACACCTGACCATCCCCCTCCACCCTTGCCCACACTGTTCAGGTCCCTGGCCCCCGCCATTTCATCAGCTTGGGCTTTCTCATCATTCGCGGGCGTGTCAGGGCAGCTTCAAAAAGACTGGCTTTTTAAAATACACAACTTTCTTCTCTTTATTGCCCTGGGAAGAATACTGTAGCCATTCTACAGCGGCAGTGCTGAGGTTCACTCTAGGTCTAGACTTTCTGAAACCATCTCATAAGGGGCTAGGGTAAACTGTAATAAGTAGAATCTAATCATTAGGTAAAATAATTAGATTGCTAATAATTGGCTTTGAGACTGGTGTTCTCTGCTTTGGGTAGTTTCAACACAGCTGCAGCCGAAGTTCTTCCTGAGAGTGACAGGGTGGGATTAAAATATTTATGTGCTTTGTATTAAATTCATAATCAATTTTAAATCTAAGAACTCAAGATTCAATTGGATATCAGCTTCATTAAAATCACTGTCACTTTTCCCCAGAGGCGGTAAGAAGCCACATCTAATTAATACCAGTGTCATCTTATTTCCTTCTTCCTTGCTGAAGGTGTCAATGAATTGGGCAGGGAGAGGGCGACTCTGTGACAGGTGATCAAAGGGGAGCGGAATCAGGATTCCGAATAACTCGCCCCCAGGCTGTGCTTCTCAGCCAGTCAGAGCCGCTGGGCGGCAGCCTTGCTGACGGCCGCGGGAAGGCATCAGAGAGAACCTCAGTGGGCGCGGTCCTCTTCTGCACAGAAGTGTTCCTGGAGGCTTATAAAAGCCAGCACTAAGAGCCCCCTTAAATGTCTGACGAAAAGAACGTGATTAGGAAAAAAACAGTATAGTCTCATCTTTAGATATTGTTCTGTTATAATCGTTTTTGGAATTTTAGTGATAATGAGAAAATGGTCATGATACAAGTTCCTAAAGCAGGATATAAAGTAAATGCCTAAAGCAGGATATAAAGTAAATGTCTCACCCATGTAAAAATTGCCTAGAAAAATACCAGAAGGAGTTATACTGTAGCAAACTATCGAGAGCAATTATCTCAGAGTAGAGGAGTATTCATGGTTTTCTTTGCTTCTGTTATAAATCTTTAAAAATCGTTTCTATAGTAAGCACATGCATTAAATTTATAAACAAAAAACCCTGGATTTTTCAAAATGATGATTGAGAGCTCTGTAATTTGAATAATAATGATTGATCTGATGTAGAGAAATACCCATTGCCTCCCCTTCCATCCCATGCTCTGCGCCCACTGCTTTATAGCCAGGCAATCAGTTATTCATTCAACAAACAGTCACTGGGTGCCAGGCACCAGACCAGACTGTGTGGCTGTGAAGATTGTCCGCGGGAGAGGAACAGTGTGCTAGAGAGACAAGATCTGTAGTCAGAAGACTGCACGCCAGGTCCCACTCACGGCAGCCCGCTCTGATGCCTCTGTGGTCCGCGGTGCAGATGGAGACACCACCGGAAAGGCTTGCCTTGGGGACTCAGGATGCCTCCAGGGCCTGGCACCCATCAGGTTCTTAATAAAGTGTCCTTGAGAGAAGAAAACTTAGTGCACTTCAAACATCACTCTGTAAAGCAGCGTGCACAGGTTAATGCCACATAAATGATAATGGAGAGGTGTTTCTGTATTGATGACGTGCCTGCTGAATTCGTGTGTGTGTGTTCTCTCCACCTTCCTTTCCCCACCCCACCATGCCTTACAGAGAGAGCTTCCTCACATTGGGACATTTTCAAGTCTCTCTCCTATACCTGGCTTCACCAAATGGCTCCTGGGGCTCCTGAAATCACAAGCAAAGGATCATGGGAAGAATGAATTATTCACAGATTCTGAGTATAAAGAAATCTCTGAGATCACAGGGGAACCTATTCATGAGACCCTCAAGGTCTTTCTCAGCAGCAGCGAATGGGTGAAGTCTGAAAAGCTGGTCAGAGTGCTCCAGGCCCCCTTGATGAGGCTCTGTGCCTGGTACCTGTACGGAGAGAAGCACCGAGGCTATGCCCTGAACCCTGTGGCAAACTTCCACCTGCAGAACGGGGCTGTGTTGTGGCGCATCAATTGGATGGCTGACGTCAGCCCCAGGGGCCTCACCAGCTCATGTGGCCTGATGGTCAACTACCGGTACTACCTGGAGGAGACGGCCGCCAACAGCACCACCTACCTTTGCTCAAAGAACATCAAAGCTTCCGAGCAGGTCCTCAGCCTGGTGACCCAGTTCCAGAAGAACAGCAAACTTTAAACCTCTCCCGAAGCAGATGGAGACATCCTCGGCTTGGGAAAGCCTAATTTTCTGGATGGGTCAGAGGGTGATGGGGCAAAAGGAACTCTCTGAGTAAAGCAAAGTCACACTGCTTTCTCTGCCCACAGCAGGGCCACGCGGCAGGCCGGGCCCTACAGGTCATTGTTCAAGGAAAAGCGCTATACCTGATGGTAAGGTGGTGGCAGGTACAGGTGGACACCGGCCGGGCGGGGATGCAGTGCTCTCTCCAAAAGATTCTGTTACTGTCTTTGGCCTGGCTGCCTGTCCAGGGTCGGTGCTGTGGCGCCTCTGTCTTCAGAAAGCCCCAGAGCCTCTGCTGGCTGTCATCCCAGCTGAGTCACTCAGCCTCTCAAGGACCCAGGCCGACGGTCCAGGTGAAAATAGATTTTCCTCTGAGCTCAAAACATAATTCAGCCTGATGCCTCTTCACCACTGCCCTTCAGTCGCTATAAAGGGATAGAGGGCTCTGCTACATTTTACTGGTCATATTTTGGACATCACAAATATATGGAAAGATTCGTGACTTTGCACAAAGTTTACTAAGTTAAATCACCAAACACAAGAGGTATTGTTGCTTAGGGCTTATATTCAGTTATGGACATTGAAGTTTTTAGTGATTCAAGTTCATAATGAACCTAATAGTAAAGAACAAATCTGTTCTGCAAAGCATTAAACATATGGTTATTTAAGGTAGTGTGGTAGTTGTTTTTGAGTTCTGAGACCTCATAAGCTGGAACCCGCTCTGAGATATCAGCTGCACCTTGGGTCCCCAGCCAGCCGTGGGTATGCTGGGGGCCCATGACGAAGGCCTGGCGGGCGCTGCCTTCTTCAGAGACGAGGGAGAAGCGGCACTGCAGCTATGGGGAGAAGCAGGGCAGGTCTGTGTCTCCGCGGGTCGGTGTTCGCAGTGCTTGCTCTGTCCTCAGTATGGCAGACAGGTCGCCTTGCGTTTTTGGGTTTTCATCTTCCACTCACGTCTCCGGGTCCTTCTCTGTCGTCTCCTGAATGTGACTTGTTGCCTGATAACAATCAACACGGTGGTCACTAGTAGAGCTTTTTGCTTTCTCCGAATCCTGGTCGACGCTGCCTCATGCTTCTCGTTGAGCTAATTCTGAAAACCCTTGGGCTCTAGAGTTACTTGCAGGACCCTGGTCAGCAGCCCTGGCATCCTGTTGGCCCCCGTATAAAGAGAGAATTCCTCCTGGCGAGTGATGGGGCCTGCTAATGTCCCAGGTCCTGGATGTCAGAAAATCACAAAGTCTGGGTGTCTGTAACCGTTACTGTGCCAGAGTCTCCACCTGTGTCCGTCACCCCCTCCCCACCCCCCGGCTCCAGGATCAGCTGCTCCTCTGCAGTCGGCACGGCATAGAGAAGGTGAGTGGGTGTGGGTGCTTCTGTGGTCTGAATGTTTGTGCCCCCCTCAAAATCACGTGTTGAAATCCCAGCCCCCGAAGTGGATGGTGTTAATGGGTAGGAGTTTTGAGAGGTGATTAGGTCATAAGGGTGGAACCCTCGTGAATGGGAGTGGTGCCCTTAGAAAAGGGACCCCACAGAATTCCCTCAGCCCTTCTGCAATGGGAAGATTCAACAAGGAGCCTGCGGCCCAGGAGAGGCCTCCCACCCAACCACGGTGGCACCTTGATCTCTAATCACTAGCTTCCAGAACTGGAAAACAAGAAATCTCTGCTATTTATGAGCACCCCAGTCTGTAGTATTTTATAGTAGCCCGAACGGACTGAGGTGGGTGGATAAGGATGGGTGGGTCTCCCAGGGCCCTCAGTCCAGTCACTGAAGGGAAAGAGCTTATGACGCCTCTCTCAGGCTGCATTGAGCCGAAATTCCCCGCCCTCACCAATGGCCCAGGAGACCCCTCACTTGCTTCTCACGCTGGGCCTACAGCCCTTGGAAGGCAGACGGTGGCTATCTGGCCTGGCTCCCACTTCCTCTGAGGGATGATGTCCTTTGCACAACAATCACAGCAGAGCAGGAGTCAAAATCAGACAACAACTGGGTCTGAAGGCAACAAAAAAGTTTATTCACTGGATCTTAGTGTTGGGAATTTTCCTCCTACAGAAGAGCCCTAACCAATTGGCCAGGTGACACCCTCACAAGGGGGACCCAGAAGCTGGGAGTGTAGGCGGGCGCTGTCTCCCAGGCCTCGTTTCCATCCCACTTGCTCTTAGGGGACCCCAGCAAGCAGTCTGACTGCAGTAACGTCCTCTGGAAAATGCCCCACAGATGGTGGGCTCACAGTCGGTGCTCAATAAATTGTCATTAGTAGTTTCCAGAGCTGCTCAGGTTCAAGGCTGAAGCTGTATTTTATTACTACCACCCCCCGACCGTGGACCCATGGAGCCTATTCCTCCTGCAGGTCTCCCCCACCGCCACGGCTGCCTTCATCTCTCACTGCTTTGGTGTCTGTCATTCGGACAGACCCGCGTCTTTATCCCATCCAGGAAGTTTCCCTGGAGGCTCAGTGCTGGGCTCTGCTGGGATTCGGAATAATTCTGATTCAAGGGGCGCTAATGGACTTGGGGCCCACCTGCCCTGATGTGTCCATGGGTCCCTTTTTTTTCTGAAAGGCAATGCATGGCATAATGGCATAATGGTTGAGGCCACCAGCTGTGGCTGCAGCCAGTGCTGGAGCCATGCCCCGGCCCCACTGCTTCCCAACTGGGTGGCCGGTGGCAAGCCCCCTGTTCTCACTGTGCCCCAGTTTCCTGTCTGTAAATGTGGGTAACCACAGCACCTACTTCAGGGGCTGCTGCGAGGCTCAAAGGAGACGGCGTATATAAAGCACTTAAATTGCCCCAGTTACTATGCTTATTCCAAACGTCCGTACATCTGGACTTCTGACAGGGGACTGTGTTGCCCTCACCTTAATGTAGGCTCTGGAATCTGTCATCTCCTTGGCAGTTAGTGTTTGGCAATTTTCTGGCTTCTGCTCACAGTTTCTACAAGGTGACTAAGTGGAGTAATTCATTCCCAGAAATTCCTCCTCTGTGCACTGCATGGGTGCTTGAGGCATCGAAGCAGCATCCCACTTCCAGGTGAGGAGCGCCAGATTAAACAGCATGGCCCAAGCCCTCTCAGCTGGTACCTTGTCCAACAAGCCCCCAGCCAGCTCTGCCTCGCTGGCTGGAGTCACTCTGCTGCCTGCCTCCCTGCCCCGCTTCCTCCGTCCCTCCCCTCCTCTCCCAGGGCCGGATCCTCACTGCATCCAGAAGCAGGGCAGCTAAGGGTTGTGTAGCTCTGCCCTCTCTTGGTCCCCTGAGGGCATTACACTCCTGCAAGAAAGCACCACTTTGTCCTTGTTCTGCCTGTATGTGGATTAACAGGTTGAAGGTGTCTCTTAAACATTTTGCAAGCATTGGCTTATTCTGGGTTTTGTTTGAAATTAAGCGTAAGGTGCACTTAAGACCTAAATGGAGCGAACATCTCTTTCTGATTTTTAATTGGATTCTAAGACATTCATTGGAATATGAAATCCATTCTCATCTATTCTTAGATAGAAACAAAAGCCTCACAATGGTTTCTGTTCACCACAGAAATTTCTGCATTATTTGTAATTTAGCAACACTGATAGAGGTGAATCCAAGTCTCTTTCTCGCCTTTGTTTTTCTTTCTTTTTTAAAAATTACATTTGTATTTCTTGAATACCTAATATTTAATTATGAAGGAAAGAAGAAAGGAAGAGCATACATCTCTGCTCTGGGCCAAATGTTTTCCACACTGAAGTCTGCAGAATGTTTCTCACTGACAGATGAGGTAACTCAGGCTCAGAGAGGGCTGAGCAGCCAGCGAGGGTGGACTGGCCACCACAGGGACCTGCCTCCCACCCAGATGCCCCAGCAGAGCTGCAGAGTTGGAGCCCACAGGGGCTGGCTCAGGAGCCCCTGCTCCCATAGAACTGCTCTGTGACCTGAGACCTATCAGGGGAGTTCCCTTCAAATGCAAAAAAAAAGGGGGGGGTGTTAAAAAGCCACACTTCCAAGTCTCACACTTCTCCCAAGCTAGACAGTGTCCCCAACCCCTCCCCACCCCCAGGTTAAATAGGTTAAGTGGGGCTGTCCCCCCAGCCCCCGAATGCAGGCCTGGAGCCTCACGTAGTGGTGCCTGCTGCACAGCAGGTGACTCCTTGGGTGGTGACAGACAGTGCCTTGGCTGGAGAGACAAGGAACTTTCAAATCCCCCTACCACCTCGGGCCACTGTCATATGGGGTCAGAGACATTCTGATGCTAAAAATGGTTCTGAGCAGGAACTGGATCTGGAACTGCCATCATGGGTGCTATTCAACCCATTTACCACTAGGTGGCAGTGTTGTCTCTTTCTTCCACTTGGAGCTTAACGTTAAGTTCTTAACAGGTAACAAAGCCACTTTGGTGGTAAACCTGTTGCCCAGATCCTGCACTTCAGGCTCCCGGTTCTCTCACAAGGGCAGGGATCTGAGGCTGCCCGCCCAAGCCTGGCTTTCACGTAACTTCCCTACATGTTCCTGGGAGCTTCCCTAGCCAGAGCCCACAAATTCAAAAGATCCTCAAAAGACTCTTGAAAGAACAAGAATTGGAAAAGAATGATATGAGATGATCACTTTGTCCAACAGCCACCAGATTAGCACACATCTCACAGGGGAAACGCTCTGAAGGATTTTGTCTCTGGACGCACATAGTTTTTCCCTTGGGCTTCTAAGGCAGGTTCTTCAGATACGATCTCAAGAACCCAGCAATAAGTCCAAGGACTGGAAGGAAAGCCACTTGCAGGCAGAACTCAGAACCCAGTGTCCTGGCCAGAGGAACTGCCCTCAGTGGCCAGAAGGTGGCAGCTTTTCAGTGTGACCTAGTAACTGCTTGGCACAGTGATGTTGGGGGCCTGGCTGGCCTCTTGGGCCTTCCGGAGCTCCACAAATACTTTATTAAGCTTTCATATAAAAAATTGTATTTGTAACTTTTTAACTGCAGGGAGAACAATCTATTCATCAGTGTGATGTATCAAAATACCAGCACATTGGCGCCACCAACCTATCAGCTTGCCAATACAAGCCGATCTCAACTTCAGCCCTCAGAATACACTAGCTTCTCCCAGAACTGTTGAGTTGAAGCTCATTGAGAGAACTGTATGAAACTATGACGCTTCACAGCTTTTTATCAGTGTGACTCAGAGCTTGCTCTCTGCACTGTGCAGTTGCAGACACAGATCAGCTTGTCGAAACAAGCACGGAACGTCCCAAACCCGTCATTTCCAACCTTTGCTATTTTCAAAACAGACTTGTTGCTAAAAGTTCAGATTTTTAACCAAGATCTCAGAATCATGCAGCCTCTACCTCTAGGGAAGCAGCTGAGAGCTGAACTTCTGACAAGGAGTATGATCTATTAAAAGCAGCAATGATAAGAGTCCTGGCCTTACACCCAGGCAGGAGGGGGCCTTACACACCGCAAAACATGCGGAAGAGTTGATTAACAAACATGTAGCGCCTTTGTCCCTGCAAACTAAACCCACTCATGCACCGACATCAGTCAGGACCAGAGAAACACTCTCCACGTCTCTTGCTTTATGTCCTTGAATCAAAGGCCTGTGTGCCCAAACTCGGGGGAGGCTCTGCTGCTGCCATCAGACGCCAGGAGGCAGGGACACTGCTTCAGAGCAGAGCGGGGATTTGACTGTGGGAAGAGATTAGGTGCGAGGGAAGACACGTCCATTCAGCTGTGAAGTCCTTCCTTTCTGTGAGAGGTAATCCAAGAGATTCTTGTAAGACAAAGCATAGCTTCCTGCTTAGCCGGTTTACAAATTACGTACACCTGCCCTTTATTACTCACCGAACTCCACAGGACCCCCAGACATGACTCTAGTCGGTCATCTTCGTTAGATTGATGACCTTCGGCCAGGTAGAAACCATAGCTTTTATACAGTTGTTGTTTTCAATTTTGTCATTATAAAGGACCGCTTGTTTTTTTAAATTATATTTCATTGATTATGCTGTAATAACAATTCTATTACAAATGCTTTCCCCTTTGCCCCCCTCTCCCCAGCATCCCCACTCCTTCAAGAAATCCCCCCGCCATTGCTCATGTCCACGGGTCATGGGTGTAAGTTCTTGGGCTACGTACTCCCTTTCCTGCACTGTACTTTTGGTCCCTGTGGCTGTCCTGTAACTGTTGGTACTTCTTGATCCCCCCACCTCTTCACTCATCCCCCCATATCCCCCTCCCATCTGGCGACCACAAAAGCACTCCCCATGTTCATGATTCTGTCTCTGTTCTTGTTTGCTTAGCCTGTTCCTTAGATTCAATTGTTGATTTGTATTTGTTGCCATTTTATTGTTCATCGTTTTGATCTTATTTTTCATAAATAAGTCTCTTTAACATTTCATATAATA